TTTTTGCTTCAAGCCTCTGGAAATCACCTGTCTTATCCAATTATCATCATGGTTATGACATTCAATATTGACTGTAAATTGGATCCATTCCTCTTTAGGTGCTGATCTTGCCTTTAAAGGCTTAATTATCCTCTTGTATTGTGAATTAGCATTTTAAAAATCCAGAGATTCGATTATTATTCATCTAGTTTCTGAATTTTGTATCATTCTATTTACAACAGAAGTCAATCTTTGTAAAAACCAAAAACAAACAGTGATAGTTTCCTTTTAGCTTGTAAATGACTCATTTCTCTTTCTGTCTTCTTCAGTTCTGTCCCAAGCATTCAAAGCTGCTTCATGGCATAAAGGCAAGGTGTGGTCATCATACAGAGACTGTCTTTGTACATCAGCATCATTTGCCTCTCCAAGAAGTTGGTCTTGGGACATTTCAATACCTCTATCCCTACTTTGGTGATCAATGGTCCTAGCCTTATCTTTCCACCAGGTCCTCCACTAGGCTCCAATACTGCTGTAACAAAATCTTTCCAGTCTTGTGGGACAATTCTGTTACTAGTTGACTATGAATTTAACATCAGCTTCACAAAACGTGAATGCATGCCATATGGGACTCTCACGTCTTTAAATCTCCTCAAAACTAACTTTTCCACTCAGCTTTTACACAGCCTTGGGCATTCTTGTCATTTTGCAGTTGTTCCTATAAGGCAGCTGGGTAAATAAAGGTCGCTTGTTTGAAAACCTTGGGCTGTTCCTCTCTAATTTTATAATGTAGTGGTGAGGTTGGTTCTCCTTTAAATTCCTCTGTCTTTGTCTGAATATCTCTATTATCTGTTTTAGTAACTTTTTCTAAGATCTGTATCTTGGCACTCTGTGGTAACTCACAAGTGACTCAGTTTCCATCTGGAGTCCATTCTAGTTCTATAGCCATTTGAGTTCAAGCTTGCCTGCTCTGCTTGTATCCTTGTATCTCTCCAGTATCCTTGAGGGCGGTGAGAAAGTTCTGAATAAGCCCATGGGAAAGAGCATTTTGCCCATGAGAAAAGAACACACTATCCAGTAGAAAGAATACTGCTGATGCCAAACCTTAGGGCACATCCAAATAGAAGAAACTGCTTGAGCAAAGACAGGAATGGTCTTGTGGTCAGATACTGACTTACTGTGCTGTGCTGTGTTCTGTTTTTGTATATAAGCAGGCTGTGAAATAAACTTGGGGCTGTCCAGAGTAAGCTGGCAGTCCCCTGAATCTATCTGACCTGTGTTTTCTGCCTCAGCTTCTCTCAATCTAACATTTCTTTAGCCTCAGCGCCCCCTTCTAGGAGCCCTGGCTGACTTTGCTGGGGCAGGCTCCAACATTGCTCATATCCACCAACTTTTGTAGGGATAAAATAAGAATTACAAAACCAATTAATGTTTAAATTGACCTTTTGTGAATTCTATTTAAGTTCATTTCCCCCTCATCTATCATGGAATCATACAGAGACCTCCATCGTTATAGTGCTTTCCTTTTTTTTTTTTTTTTTTAGTTTTTCCGAGACAGGGTTTCTCTGTAGCTTTGGAGCCTGTCCTGGCACTAGCTCTTGTAGACCAGGCTGGCCTCGAACTCACAGAGATCCACCTGCCTCTGCCTCCCGAGTGCTGGGATTAAAGGCGTGCCTCAGCACTGCCCAGCAGTGCTTTCCATTTTTTTAATGTGGGGGGAAACTCTTCTTTTCAAAAAACTAATCCCCGCTTTAAAAATTCCCAATTGTCAGGGGGCTGGAGAGATGGCTCAGCAGTTAGAGCACTGCCTCTTACTCCAGAGGACCTGGGTTAAATTCCAGCACCCACATGGCAGCTTACAGCTGTCTGCAACAACAGGTTCTGGGGGATCTGACACCTTCACACCAATGTACATAAAATAAAGTTAAATAAACTAAAAAAAAAAAATTCCCCATTGTCTTACCAAATCTGCTGACAACGATGGCGCTGAGTGAGGCTGACTGCGGTCTGACAGGGAACACAGGTGCAGCTGCTAGTGTGTACTGTGAGCCGATGTGTGCGGTTTCCCCCACTGTGGAAGCCTGAGTAGGTGTCAAGGCAGATACCTAGTACAGCAAAAACCCAAAGAGGGGGTCCAGGGGAGTCCTGAAACCCACGGAGGGAGCGAACCCAGTGGGGAGGGGCTGACTCTGGCAGTGTTTGGAGCCCAAGCGCCTGTGGAGATTGCTGTAGAGAAAAATCCCAGAGGGCTTGGGGAAGCAAAGGAAAACCCAGCCAGCGGTGCATTGACTCTGGGGTGCTGCTCCTGTGTGGCCTGCCTGTGCCCCAGAAGTCAGATGCCAAACAAAGAGTAAATCTAATTAATCTTATCACTAAAAGCCTGAAGGATCAGAGAAGCTGTGGAGAAGGAAGGGGTGGCTTCCTACCTCTTCCATTCCTCCATCCCAAAGGACCAAGATCCTGTCTCTGCCCCACCTTATCACTTCTGTCTCCTCTCTGTACAGACCTCCAGCCCTCTATGGCTAACTAGTGGCTAGCTCTGCCCTCTGACTCCAAGCAAGTTTTATTTGTCAGAACACAATGAAAGTATCACACAACACACACACACACACACACACAGATATGTACACAGACACAGACGTACACATAGACACAGACAGACAGACACACATGCACACATAGACGCACACACAGAGACACACAGACATACACACACACACAGACACCAATATCCACAAATAGTTTAACTAATTACCCAGGTATGGAGCACGTCTTTAATCCCAGCACTCAGGGGGCAGAGGCAGGTGCTTCTCTGTGAGTTTGAGACCAGCCTGGTCAACAAGATGAAATCCTGTCTCAAAAATCAATAAGTAACAACAAAAATTCAAGAACTGGAGAGATGGCTCAGCAGTTAAGAACACTGGCTGTTCTCCCAGAAGACCCAGGTTCAATTCCCAGCACCCACCTGACAGCTCACACCTGTCTGTATCTCCAGTCCCAGGGGACCTGAAGCTCTTTGGGCTCCTTGACTTTTACCCATTCCCACCCCATCCCATGCACACAGTTCTAGGGATGGAACCCAGGGCCTTGGTGCTACTGGGTGGTCTTCCTTGAGGACCCCCCACCCCAGGTTCCTTTCCCTGGTTATTCAGAGACAGGCTGGCCTACATCGTCCAATCTTCCCACAGAGCATCAAGTGTCTGTGGTGCTGGAGGTGACCCCAGGCTTCACCCAGGTTCTAAGATGCTGGGCCAGGTCTGTGCACGCTGACCTCTAGTCAAAGTTCAGCAGTTGCTTTTTTGCAAGTATTTGTTAAATTCCCCCACTTTGGTTTTTTTTTTTTTTTTTTTTACATCAAACAAGTGCCTTGCTGGACTCTAGTGATGAGTCAGTGTTCAGGGTCAGAGAACCGAGGTCCCTAGGGCACACTCAGCAACATACAGAAAAGTCATCGCATGGCAGTGATCAGAGACGCCACTAGCCATGGCACCATGCACAGCACACCTCCCAGCACGCATTTAACTGAGCTCAGCTGCCAGCAGCTTTTGGATGGATTTTGGAACTGATTTCAGACTGCACGAGGAACTTGGGTTTTATACATACGCAAGACCCTGGTTTCACACCCAGCACTGGGTTTTAGTGTCGTGCTTGGAGAAGATGTGTCAAATTTGATTTCTACCACGAGGCTGGAGAGCAACCCTCGGCTCCAGCATTCACCATCCCCGCCCCAGCCCCAGCTGCATCTCATCCTGGTTAGGCAGTCTCACTGGCACAGTTGTTGAGCTCTGCTCACAGTGGCCAACGCCGCCAGCATCAACAACAGCATCTTGCCTACTCGTCCGCAGAGAACACCGGTTTTCCAACTGCCAAGGAGCTCGAGGAAGAGTCTGAACATGCGCACTGAACTTAAGGGTAGGCCATTTCGCGCCCCACCCCCAGTCTGTGCATGCGCACCTGGTGTGAAGGCCCCATCAGGATCTTTTGGACGTGCACAACAAAATCCCCGAAAAAGGCCCAATGGGTCTATGCAGAGGCAAGTGGAAGGAGAGAGCATGAGCAATATGGAGGAAGAGCATGCACATTTTGAATACCCAGGCTACCAGCTCCGTAAGTCAGATTCGTGAGCACGCACGAATGAATTTGAGGAAGTCTGCATAGAATGTGCATTCCGACAGGCAGTGGTGCAACCAGGGCTTTGGGCAAGCATAAATTCTACCAGCTGCTTTACAGAGCTTGAGTATGCGCACGGGGTAGCTTGGGATGCTCCCTAGAAGCTTCAGTGTTTTCATAAGTGCCCTGTGGATGTCTGTCCACACAGGCGTCGTCAAGCATGCATGCGTGTGCAAGGCCTGCCATGTGCCAACCAGAAAGAGAGGCCAAATCTCTCCACAGGTGAAGATGGTGGAACCCGTTGTTGTGTATCGTGTATCACCAGTGCACAAGAATAAGAAGTTTCTAGTTCCAGGACAGGCACCAAAAACTACAGAGAAACCCTGTCTCGAAAATCAAAAAAAAAAAAAAAAAAAGTTTTAAAGCAGGGGTGCTCTGTACCAGTCTCATCCCACCCTACCCCTCAAGACTCTGGTCCCCACCTTTCAAAGCCCCGCCCTTTGAGGCGTCCTTCGATCCCTCCCCTGCTTCCAGTTCCTCCAAGCCCCGCCCAGTAAGGCGTTCGTCATCGGGACCACACACCACTTCCGCCTTCCCCTAGTCATTCTTCCTCCGGGGTTCTAAGGTGCGTTTTCCTTTTTGTCCACCTCCTCCAAAACAGCTCTCTAGAACGGCCTCCGTCGAGCCCCGCCCCCAGCTCGGGCAACTGCAGGCCCCGCCCCCGCCCCCCCCCCCCGCCGTGGACCACGCCCCCACCTCTATGTCTTCCCTTCCCCGCCTCCGGTCGGCTCCCTGGCCACGCCCGCCCCCTCCGTGGACCACGCCCACTTCCCCCAAGCCCGGCTCCCAGCCTGAAGCACGCGCGCGTCGTCACGTGCGCAGCCACAGGACGCACAGAGATGACGTGGGCGCGGTGCGCCTTCAGTATGGCCGTTCCATGGCGGCGAGCACAGGCTACGTGCGGCTGTGGGCCGCTGCGCGGTGCTGGGCTCTGCGGCGGCCACTGCTGGCCGTCACTGGAGGCCGCGTCCCGAGTGCGTCCGGATCGTGGTTGCGCCGAGGCCGGCGGGTCTGCGACACATCGGCTCCCTGGGCGCTCGGCGGCCGCGTCCCCGCGGGCGCGGGTCAGTGGCGGGGGCTGTGGGACGCGGGTGGCCGCGGCGGCGGCGGCAGCGGCAGCGACGAGACCTCCGAGGGCGGCTCGGAGGACGGGGCCGCGGCGGGCGGCGGGGACGGCCCGGTCGTCACGGCCCTCGCGCCCATGACCGTCCCGGATGTGTTTCCGCACCTGCCGCTCATCGCCATCACCCGCAACCCGGTATTCCCGCGCTTTATCAAGATCGTGGAGGTAAAGAGAGCGCCGCGCCTGGCCCTCACCACTCGGGAGTCTGAGGCAGGAGGATGCCAGAGTCCTTGGTGGCTCTTTTGGACATTCTCCCCTATTCGGTTCCTTCAGTACCTGAGACAGTGTGGGCTTGGGTCCGTGAATCTAGGACCCTCGGTGATAGAAATCCGAGGCCGACTAGCAGCAGACTACAGTTCTTTTCCTCTCATCTTGGCGAACATTTTGTACCACCTTCTGAGCCTCCCTTGTGCAATCGTCTGTTGTTTATTGAGAGAGTATATATCTTTTGTCTTGAGACAGGGTCTCGTGTAGCCCAAGCCAGCAAGTGTCTTAAGTTTTTACTCCCTTAGTTACTTTGTATCACGCACAGTTATGAGATACAAAGTTTCAGGCCTTGGGGCCTTTTTTCTAGGAGTAGGAGAAAGCGGGAATCACTGACGTTTGAGAGGCATACCAAAGGAAGAAGAAAAGGACAGCATTTCAGCAGTGTCCCTGACATCCACCTCATATCCACGCTGAAGAAGAAAGTAAGAACAGCCTTTACCTAAGGGAGGAAAATTCCAGTGCAGGAAGCTGATCCCAGCTGAGCCTTGAGGCAGGCAGGGAGAGAGAACAGGATGATGAAATCACCCGAAAGCAGAGACATTTAAAAGTAGAGAATTTCCTAATCAGCTGCCTACCCCCACTGCCTTTATGTTTTATTTTTCTCCTTTTAAACTTGGAAATCAGAGTCCAAGGAGGCCAGTGGTTATCAGTTAACCTAGTACCAAGGTCATACAATGAGTCATTGCCATATCCACCCCACAAACTCCCCTCAGCAGCGTAGATGTGGGGAGGCTCAGAGGCTGCTCCTCCATCTACCTCCTCTCCCATGTTTCCAAGGCCCATCATTTATGTTGCCTGTTTGGTAGGACACACACACTTTTCAGCCAACCCTGTAAGGTGATGTGGCACCGTTACCTATCTGCAGGTTGCTCCCGATGGCCTTTTTTCCCCTCATCTGGAAAGTGGATATAATAGACGCTCCTCTCTCCAAGTCAGGGAGCTGCGGTGGAAGTCATGCATAGGCCTGTGTGTGCTGGCTTTTTTGTTTTGGTTGAGGCAGGCTCTCATGTGTTCTAGGCTAACCTCAAACTTGCTATATAGTTGAAGTTGGCCTTGAGCCCCTGGTCCTCCGGCCTCTCCACCACCCCAGCTCTGGGGTCACAGGTGTCCTCATAGTCCCGAGTGACTGAGTAATAAGCCTCTGCAGTTTGCCGCTTAGAGGCAGTCCCAGACACAGTTCCTGTGACCCTTGTAGGACTAGCCATGCCTGGAAGGTTCTGATCCTGCAGGACTGCCCTGGAGGCCCCTTCTGGATTCCCTTTACTCCTCAGCTTCCGGGAGCAGAGCAAAGAGACATTTCTTCTGCTGTCCGCCACACACAGCTAAGCCATCAAGGGCACACACAGCCTTGAGACCCTGGCACATGGCTTTCTAATGTCATCACCTTACAGATGACTAGCCAGCAGCTTCCATCAGAGAACTACAGCGGGCTCCTGGGAGCAGTGAATGGATCTGTTAGCAAGACTGCTTTCACATCTGCAGCTGCCAGGCTTAAGGGCTCTCCTCAGCTGGGGATTGTACAGGGGTGGCTTGGGCTGCCGGGGTTCTGGGTGCAATGCTCACTTAGCGTGCGTGAGGTGATGGCCCCAGCGTCACACAAACAACGTGTCACCCCAGTGCTCAGGTGAAAGGAGGAGCATCGGTGGCTCAGAGTTACTCTTGGCTACATGAGCCACTGTTTTAGTTACCATGTATTGCTGTGAGGAGGCGCCGTGACCAAGGCTTGCTTACGTTTAATGCGGTAGTTTGTGAGCATCATGGTGGCGAAGGTGTTGGCAGGCAGGCATGGCGTTGTAACTGTGACCGAGAACTTGCTTCTGATCCACAAGTTGCAGACAGAGAGAGCCTGGCATGTGCTTTTGAAACCTCAAAGCCTACCCCCAGTGGCAGATAGCCAACAAAGGCCACACCTCCCAAGCCTTCCTAAACAATTCCTATGACTGATACCAAACATTCAAATATAGGAGCCTGTGGGGCCATTCTCATTCAAATACCACAGACCCTATCTCAAACAACAACACCCACCTAAACTGGAAGTGGGTGGTGCTGACTGTCTAATCCCTGCACAGAGGAGGGTGGATTAGGGTTGGCGTGAGTTCAAGCCAACCTGTGCTCCATCGGGAGACCCTGTCTCAGACAAGCAAGAGCCCCACACAGATGAAGAGTGTTGGGACCCCCCTCCCCAGCCTTGCTATATCAGAAACTTGTCCCTGTAAATCCTGAACTAAAGCAAGAGGATCACCTTGAGTTCCAAATTAGTGTCAGCTCTGTGGTGCGCGCTAAACTACGGAGTGCCGGTGGGGCAACGGCTCAGGTGACAGGTGTGTGTGTTTGCACTGAGTTTATGTGTATGAATATTTGCATATACAGGCACGTGTGTGCTTAGTGCCCATGGAGTTCAAAAGATTCAAAAGAGTGTCGGGTTCCTTGAAACTTGAGTCAAGGATGGTTGGGAACCTCTGTGTAGTTCTGAGAGTTGAGCTCAAGCCGTCTACAAGAACAAGTGCTCCTAACGGCCAAGCTACCCGTCCAGCCCCACTGCTTCTGTTTTTTGGTGGAATGGTCTCTCTGCAGGCCTGGCTGTCCTGGACCTCGCACTGTAGACCAATCTGGCCTCGAACTCAGAAAGGTCTCCCTGTCTCTGCTGGGCACCATGACAGCTGCTAAGGGGTGGGAGGAGTCAGTCACTGAGATCAGAGTAACTAGGAAGTGGTGCTCGAGGCTGGAAGGAAGCCACCTCAGACTCCAGGGCCTCCTGCCTCAGCTCACTCCATGTGTGATGGTGGAGCTGTGGCTTTGCAGTAAGCATTTTTGCCAGTGGCCGTGACTGGTGCCTTGCTTATTCTCCTGCAGGTTAAAAATAAGAAGCTGGTTGAGCTCCTGAGGAGGAAAGTCCGCCTGGCGCAGCCCTATGTTGGTGTCTTCCTGAAGAGAGATGACAAGTAAGTTTTTCCTGCATGAGACTGTTGTTTGAACTTTTCAAATTGAGCTAAAAGGATCCAAGGACAAGACCAAGAGCCAAAACACTGCCATTTTAGTCTAAGCCAAAGGCTTGGCTTTAGAGTCCCCCAGGGAGGGGCTGGGCCATGGATTAGTCAGGAGCATTTACCTAGCACGTGAAAGACCCTTTCCCAACGCTGTAGAGCTGTAGACGTGAACTCTTAGCCCCAGTGAAGGTCGGGATCTCAGGACACCCACCCACGAATCTAGTTCTTAACCTCAGAGTGGGAACTGTAACAGGGAAGACGGAGTTAGTGAGGTGCTCCACCCAGGAAGGACTACTGCTGAGCTGTCCATCACCCTTGAAGGAGCAGGCAGGTGCTTCTGTCTCTCGTAACTCCTACCCAAGTTGCCCCACCGCACACAGTGCTGTGGCCCCGCCAATGTGTCTTTGTGTTGTCTCCCTCAGCAATGAGTCGGATGTGGTAGAGAGCCTGGATGAAATCTACCACACTGGAACTTTCGCTCAGATCCATGAGATGCAGGACCTTGGAGACAAGCTACGCATGATCGTCACAGGCCACAGAAGGTACGGGGTCACAGTCAGGGTGAGATAAGATGTGCCCTTCAGCGTGCACAGAAGTGATTGTGGCCAACAGCTCTCCCTGACTCAGATGGTTGCAAGCATTTACCACCACTGGTCAAGAGAAAATGCCCAAGGCCATAGCATTTTGTCCCTTGGCGCTGCTCCAAGAAGCCCAGAGGTCTTGAGTGCCGTGTTTTTGTTAGTGGGCCCCAGTATTTGCGATGCTTTTCAGTTTGCCTTGTTTTGTTGGATTTTTTTTCCCCCATTTTTTGAAAACCCTAGGGCCACAGGGCCTTTGAACACACAGCTCTGTCCTGGCTCCACCTGGGCTCATTGGTCTGCCTGCTCGCAGGATTCACATCAGCCGGCAGCTGGAGGTGGAGCCCGAGGGGCCAGAGCCAGAGTCCGAGAACAAGCAGAAGTCCCGGAGGAAGCTGAAGCGAGGCAAGAAGGAGGCCGAGGATGAGTCAGCAGCCAAGCCCCAGCAGCTGGAGCTGCTGCCTGAGGCCTCTACCGACACCCCCAAAGAGGTGCTCATGGTGGAGGTTGAGAACGTGGCCCATGAAGACTTCCAGGTCACAGAGGAGGTGAAGGTAAGCCATTTGCCATGCTGTGGGCCTTGAGCAGCAGTCCCCTGAAATGATCTCCATAGACAGTGGGGTGGGTGCAGGACTGCACTGGCACATTGCTGTTCGTAGAGAAGGCGGGATTTGAACCCATGCCACCCCAGCTCAGTCTTCCAACGCTCTGTAGAGCACCCACCTGTTACTCCCTCACAGCTCAGGAGCTGGTTCATGAATCAGGGAATAAGTGAGCTATGGCCATTCTGACCCCAAACTGAAGCTTTCCTGCCTTCCTCAAGGTCCCCATGGGTAGGACAGTTAGATGACCCAAAGCCCGGAATGTGTTCTGAAGTCTGTGCAGTGCTGTCACTGCTGGCAGATGGGACTTCTGCTGCCTCTTCTAGGGACTGTGACTCCATTGGTTGTGGTTGATCAGAGCTATGGGCAAGATGCTCTGGGCTGAGCTCTGTGGGTGGATGCTGGAATTACTTGTGATGTCTGCTGTGGGCTGGGGCTGTGTGGAGAGAGGAGGCCTCTGGACTGATGCTGGATCGTGGACTTCATGGGATTGTCGGCGGCCTGGGAGAATCATTCTGTTTAATGGAACATGTTTTAACTTAGAGCAATGTCTCCATGCCGGTGGCACTATGCCAGCCTTCCTGTTGAGGTGTGCAGTGCCGTGGGCCTCAGAGACACAGCTGTGTGGGAAGGTGCACCCTTGTGTTGGTCTCCTCTACAAAGGGGAATTCAGCTGGGGGTGTTGTCCTGCCTGGCTGTGATCTCAGTACTATGAGGCTGAGGCAGGAGGATGACTGGTGTTGGAGGCCAGCCTAGGTCATAGAATAAGGCCCTGCCTCAACAACAGAAAGCAAAAGCCCTGGAAAACATGTGGAGTGGGGGCAGCAGCCCTGACCGTCTGGAGCAGTGCTTGCTTGAGTCCCCGGTCTCCATGGGTGGGCCCTTGGATTTATTTTCTATAGTTTTTTTTGTTTTTATGTCTACCCTTATGAGGGTAGAGTGCATATGGAGGTCAGACAGGCTTGGGAGTCTAGGAGTTGGTTTTGTACCATATGGAACCCACGGGTGGCACTTGGGCCATCATGCTTGGTGGCCAGAGCCTTTATGCTCTGAGCCATCTCACTGGCCCCGGGTGTACTCCTGTTGTTGCTGATGACCTTGATTTCTACTCTGTTGTCCTGGGGTGGTCCTGGGGGCTCCCCTTCTGCCGTCTTGTGACTGCCATGGTTCCTGCTTGGCAGGCCCTGACTGCAGAGATTGTGAAGACCATTCGGGATATCATCGCCCTGAACCCTCTGTACAGGTCAGTGTTTGAGGGCCGGGGTGGGCGGGGACTACCACATGGTGCCCGCTCTCTGCCCCACTGCAGCACACTGGCAAAGCTAGCTGTTACTGAAGCTTGGCTGTGTGTGGTGGGGGAGGTGTCTAAGGCATGACTTCTCTGTCCCTACAGGGAGTCAGTGTTGCAGATGATGCAGGCAGGCCAGCGTGTGGTGGACAACCCCATCTACCTAAGCGACATGGGTGCTGCGCTTACAGGGGCAGAGTCCCATGAGCTGCAGGATGTTCTGGAGGAGACCAATGTGAGTGTGCCATGTCAGGACAGAGTCCCCAGCTGGGGCTCACGTGGGTGCTTGTCCCGTACCACCAGCGCTACTGCTCCCAGACAACCCCACTGTCCCCTGTTGTTTCAGATCCTTAAGCGGCTCTACAAAGCCCTGTCACTCTTGAAGAAGGAGTTTGAGTTGAGCAAGCTTCAGCAACGCCTAGGCCGAGAGGTGATGGGAAGGGGAGGTGAAGGGATGCAGCCTGGCTCTAACTCTGATTTAGGGTTCTCTGTAAACAGGCTGACCCAGAACTTACACTTACACAGTCCCCTTGTCTCAGCCCCAGTGTGTTGGGACGTTAGGCATGTGCTCGTCTTCATTTGCTGTAGCAAAGGCTCCCTCCTGGGGTGGGCTGCAGCTGAGTGAACATAGCATAAGCCTGTTGTAGGAGGCCGCTCGTTCATCTCCCAGCTACCCAGACCCCCGAAATAACCACACAGAAACTATATTATTTAAGTCACTGCTTGGCCATAAACAAACATATTGCTAGCTAGCTCTTATATCTAGAATTAACCCGTTCCCATTATTTTATATTTTACCATGAAACTCGTGGCCTCCCTGCAAGGTTCCAGCTGGCAGCTCACATCTTTCCCCTCTGGTGGCTACATTGCATCTCACAACTCTGCCTTCTTTCTTCCAGCATTCAGTTTAGTTTTCCCCACCTAGCTCTACTCTGCCCTATCTCAAGCCAAGCCAGCTTCTTTATTCATTAACCAACAAAGCAAACACATATTAACATATTAACAACCAAAGCAACACATATACAGAAGGACTTCCCACACCATAAGCCAGGCAAGATGACGGCAGGATGGTCAGGAGTTTAGAGCCATCCTTAGCTATATAGGGAGTTTTGAGGCCAGTCTGGGCTACATGACCTGCTTCAAAATCAAAAACTAAGAGAATGCAGGTTTAACTCATGGGTAGTTTGGTGTGTGTGGTTGGCTGTGTCTGTTTGGCCATTACTGCAGATCCACACAAAAAGCAAGTCCACGTCAGGGTGCCCTGTGACACTCTTTGTGGAAGACTGTAAGGGAAGCATGCTGTACACCCAGCCCAGGGGATTCTGTGGAGGGGCCCTGCCCCGTCTTGCTCCAGCTCTGCCTGCCACAGGTGGAGGAGAAGATCAAGCAGACACACAGGAAGTACCTGCTGCAGGAGCAGCTGAAGATCATCAAGAAGGAACTGGGGCTGGAGAAGGATGACAAAGACGCTATCGAGGAGAAGTTCCGGGAGCGCCTCAAGGAGCTCATGGTCCCCAAGCATGTAATGGACGTGGTAGATGAGGAGCTGAGCAAGCTAGCCCTGCTGGACAACCACTCCTCTGAGTTCAAGTGAGTCCCCACTGCCATGGCTCCAGGCCACCCCTGCATGCTGTGCCGCGAAATCCTGGGGTGGGCATGTTGCTGTGCAGGCTGCTGGGAATCTAAAAGGCCTCTGGGCCCAGGCCTGAGCTGTACGTGCCTGTGGTGATGCTGGCTGCCTTGTCCCTGCCTCTGGCTCTGCCTGCAGTGGCCCAGGAAGCAAGCATGTGGTGGACCAGCACAGTCTGAGCACAGCCCAGCACTTTTGCTTCTGCCTGCTGATGCAAGTCCTTGTCTAGACTCTCTTCCGCCGGGCTCAGTGGGTGGCACTGGTCCCTAGTGGTTCAGGCAACTCCACATTGACTCGTGTCAGTCTGAGCTGAAATCTTGGCGTGAGGATGCTATACCCCTGAAGTACAGCCCTCCCTCTGGCTCACTGAGCGGGCCTGCCCTCAGCTTCTCCTCTGAGGCATACTCATCCCTACTGCCCCTCAGTTGTTGTGTTCCTCATGGGTGGTGAACATCCTTCCTGTGGTCCCTGGGGCTCTGCTCAAAGTGCTTTGTCCCTGCAGTGTCACCCGCAACTACCTGGACTGGCTGACATCCATCCCCTGGGGCCGGCAGAGTGATGAGAACCTTGACCTGGGTCGGGCCCAGGCTGTGCTGGAGGAGGACCACTACGGCATGGAGGACGTGAAGAAGCGCGTCCTGGTAAGTCCCACAGCATGCGCACCACCACTGCTGAGGGCAGGCTGCCTCCTTTTGTCTTTAAGTCCTTCCATCGGAAACCAACCAGCTACCCACTGGGCTCAGGATGTCCCTAGTGGATGGGTGGCAGAAGCCTGGTGTACTAGGTTTGCAGTACCTAGGGGGCTCTGTGACAAGGTGTGATGTGGGCCAGGCTGTGGAGAAGGGATCCTTATGTGTATGACACCTCTGAGCAGCCCCGGTGCGCTGCAGCCACAGCTCCCATTAGCCCAGCCTAACGCCTCATAGGCATTGGGAGGCATTGGGCCCTGACTCTGGAGGCCTGCACCTGTGCACTGAGTCTCCTTGGCCTCCACAGGAGTTCATCGCTGTGAGCCAGCTCCGAGGCTCCACCCAGGGCAAGATCCTATGCTTCCATGGGCCACCGGGTGTGGGCAAGACCAGCATCGCACGCTCCATCGCCCGTGCCCTCGGCCGTGAATACTTCCGTTTCAGTGTTGGTGGTATGACAGATGTGGCTGAAATCAAGGGGCACAGGTAGGTAGGCCAGGCCTGGCACCTGCCTGACTGGACAAGCAGTGTGACCCAGGCAGCAGCCTGCTCCTGCTCACTGTGGGAAGATGGAGGTTTGCACTGGGCAGGGCAGAGTATTCCAGGCTAGGGTCAACAGAGGAACAGAGGCAGGAGGTAGCTAGTTGTTGGCCGGTCTCAACTTTGTTTTTCAGGGTGGCCTTATTATGTAGCCTTTGCTGTCGCGGAGTTGGAACTCCCTATGTAGACCAGGTTGCCCTTGAATTCACAGATCCTCCTGTCTCCTTCTCCTGAGTCTAGGATTAAAGATGTATGCCACCACACCTGAAACTGTTTTTTTAAAGGGCACCTAAATATGCATTCAGTGTGGAAGCCCCGAGGTGGGGGGCAGTCAGCTGCAGGAGCACAGGCGGCACAGGAGCCTGGCAGCCTTTGAGTTAAGCACTGAGACCAAGCTGACACGAGTGACTGGTGGCAGAGCCAGGTGGCCTTTCCTAGGCCTATGGTTGCTCCGGGTCCCTAGCATAGGGCAGATCCAGTGTGGTTGGAAGAAGCCGAGAGGAAGCAGGCTTGGCGGGCAGAGGCAGGCAGGCTGTGCTGATGCCCGCCAATGAACAGTCAGGAGCTAGCTTGGGTAGAGCATGGCACATGCCCCCTTTGCCAGCCTGGATATGTGAAGCCCTTCCTTGGGAAACAAAAGTATCTTGTCACAAATAGTAAAGCACCCCTTTCTGCCCAAAACTCCCGGCAGTCCTTCAGGTCCTGCACAGTCCCAGCCACAGGGACCCCCTTGCTGCTCCTACTTACCAGGCTCCGTCCCTCACAGCCTGCTCTAGCTTGTTTGCTCAGTGCCACCGTCATCTTTCATGCCCTGAAGTGGCACTCTGCCACCCCTGCTCCCGAGCTCACTCAGGCCCTTGTTTATCCTGTCCTGCCTGCCTTGCAGAGTCTGGGGCCTGAGTGTGGCTTTCACGCTGCACCAGCTGTCCCCGTCAAGATTCAGCCTGGATGGCCATCCCCCACCTAATTCAGCTACTAAGGAAGTGGGCTGAGCATGACTGCAGGCTGGGCATATTGTCAGATACTGCCTGGAGGGAGAGCATTGGGGTGAAGACCAAGAGCTGCCTCCAAAGTGGGCCTCTGCTTGGCTTGCTGACCCACACCGAGTGTGCCCCCCCCCCCCCCACAGGCGCACCTACGTTGGGGCCATGCCTGGGAAAATCATCCAGTGTTTGAAGAAGACCAAGACAGAGAACCCGCTGGTGCTGATTGATGAGGTGGGGCAGGCTCTGGGGACAGAAGGATCAGGCCATGCTAAGCCCAGCATGTGATGGGGGAAGGAGCTGGGCATGGTCCCATGGTCCTGCCTTCCTCACGCAGGTGGACAAGATTGGCCGAGGCTACCAAGGGGACCCATCGTCAGCACTGCTGGAGTTGCTGGACCCTGAGCAGAACGCCAACTTCCTGGACCACTACCTGGATGTGCCCGTGGACCTGTCCAAGGTGAGTGCTGACTAATGTGCTCTGTGTAGGGGCTGCAGAAGCTGGGTGCACCAGCTTCCAGCACTCTGTGCCCCTTGTCGCTAGGTGCTGTTCATCTGCACAGCCAATGTCACTGACACCATCCCAGAGCCGCTGAGGGACCGCATGGAGATGATCAATGTGTCAGGCTATGTAGCACAGGAGAAGCTGGCCATCGCAGAGGTAGGTGGAGCCCGAGGGCTGGAGGGGCACAAGATCAGATCAGGTTCTCCGTTCCCAGTGCTTGTCAGGTGCTAGGCAGAGGTCTTGGGCCACACTTCCCCTCCAGGCAGGGCTGGGACCCTCACTATGGAGCTGTTCAGCCTTGGGTGTGTGGGAGCAGCATGGGACCCTGGGGTGCCTCACCCATATAGTGAATGGGGGCAGTAGGCATTGCTGACAGCTGCTCCCCACAGCGGTACCTGGTGCCACAGGCCCGCGCCTTGTGCGGCCTGGACGAGAATAAGGCCCAGCTGTCTGCTGCGGTGCTCACTCTGCTCATCAAGCAGTACTGCAGGGAGAGTGGTGTTCGCAATCTGCAGAAGCAGGTGGAGAAGGTGAGTCCCTCCAGCTGCATGCCTGCCTGCCACAGGCCCCTCAGCACAAGCCTCACCACACCTCCACTCTGCAGGTGCTGCGCAAAGCAGCCTACAAGATAGTCAGTGGGGAGGCGGAGACGGTGCAGGTGACGCCAGAGAACCTGCAGGACTTCGTGGGGAAACCCGTGTTCACCGTGGAGCGCATGTACGACATCACACCTGCTGGTGTGGTCATGGGCTTGGCCTGGACTGCCATGGGTGAGAGCCCCACGCCGCACCATCGCTGCTGCTCAGACTGATGGCACAAGTGTGTGCTGCCAGTGCAGAAAAGCAGGTCTTAGCACATAGTCCCCTCCGTCTCCTAGGAGGCTCCACTCTGTTCGTGGAGACGTCTTTGAGGAGGCCTTTGCTCAGGGGCAGCAGGGAGGACAAGGATGGCAGCTTAGAGGTGACAGGGCAGCTGGGGGATGTGATGAAGGAGAGTGCCCGCATCGCCTACACGTTTGCCCGTGCCTTCCTGATGGAGCAGGACCCGGACAATGACTTCCTGGTCACCTCTCACATCCACCTGCATGTGCCTGAGGTAGGAAGGACCCTGTCTGGTTGGCACCTTACCCCGAAACCCACCAGCTCCTCTCACTGCCTGTCTCTCTGCAGGGTGCTACCCCTAAGGATGGCCCCAGCGCGGGCTGCACCATCGTGACAGCGCTCCTGTCCCTAGCCCTGGGTCAGCCTGTGCTGCAGAACCTGGCCATGACGGGGGAGGTCTCCCTCACCGGCAAAGTGTTGCCTGTGGGCGGCATCAAGGAGAAAACAATCGCGGTGAGTGTCGTGCCGCACCCGAGCCCTCGGTCACCTGGGGAGCTGAGTCAGGACCCTGCTGACTGACTGTCCTCCACAGGCCAAGCGCGCAGGTGTGACCTGCATCGTCCTGCCGGCCGAGAACAGGAAGGACTTTTCGGACTTGGCCCCATTCATCACGGAGGGCCTGGAGGTGCACTTCGTGGAGCACTACCGTGACATCTTCCGCATCGCCTTTCCGCTGCGCGAGCAGCACCAGGCGCGGGCCGTGGAGCGGTGACCCGGGGACTGAGTTTGTAATCATGGGGTGGCGGAGCCACGAGCAGAGCTGTAGAATCATGAATAAAGAGCCTATTTCCAGAGCCAAGCCGAGTCACCGCGCAGCCCCGAACACACGCACGCACACACACGATCTGCGCCACAGCAACGTTTATTGAGAACGGGGAGGGGATCAGTCCTTCTTGGCCGCCGCCTTCCTCATGGCGGCTAGCACGTTGCTCAGCTCCTCCCGCTTCCTCTTGGCGCGTATGTGCGTGCCCACCTGGGTGTGTGGGGGGGGGAGTTGCGTCACCCTGAGGCACCCGCAGCCAGGTCCGCCCCGCCCGCCCGCCGGCCCTCCGCGCCGCCTACCCGCTTCTTGATGAACTTGAGCGCGCGCTTGTCCTTGGACACCTTGAGCAGCTCCATGGCGCGCCGCTCGTAGGGCGCGAAGCCGCACACCTCCCGGATCATGTCCCGCACGAACTTGGTGTGCTTTGTGAGGCGCTGCGGGGACCCAGGACGAGCTCAGCGGCGCGGCAGCCGCCCTGCACGCACCCCGCACTACCCCGCGCCCCGGCCTCTCCTCCCCAGCCGCGGCCCCGGAGCCCGCACTCACCCCGCGCCGCCGGCTGTGCCTCGGCTGGCTTACGTTCTTCGTCACCTTGTGGCCCTTGTTGAGGCCCACGGCCATGGGGTAGCGCAGGGCCATGGCTGCGGGACGACACGGCGGCTGAGACCGGCCCCTCCGCCCGCCCGCCCGCCTCCCGACGCGCCCCGCGGCCCGGGACTCCCGATGGCGGCGGATGCCCCTGACGAGCTCCACATACCTGCTCCTCTCCGATGGCGGCCGCGACAGGAAGGACGGCGCCGCGCGGAACCCTGGGATATCTGCTCCTCGATCGCCGCTGCGGCCAGAGAGGCAGACGCGCCGCGCGCGCCCTCTGGTGGCCGGAGGCTCCGCGGCCACTGTGAGCATGTGCAGCCGCTGGGCGAGCCCGGCTTTGGGCGGCTGTGCCTGCTGCCTTTGGTCTTCCTTTAGGCTGGGAGTTCGAACAGGAAACTCGCCTATTGCTAGCTGTTGAAGCGAGTTACTCTCTGACAGTAAAAAACAAACAAACAACAAACAGACAAACAAAAAAACAGTTTTTAAAGTTTTTATTATTGGCTAGAGACATGGCACAGAGGTTTAAGAGTACTTGATATCTTTCCAAAGGACATGGGTCCAATTCTCTTTTTGTTTGTTTGTTTTTGTTTTGTTTTGTTTTTCGAAGCTGGGTTTCTCTGTAGCTTTGGAGCCTGTCCTGGGACTAGCTCTAGTAGACCAGGCTGGCCTCTAACTCACAGAGATCCTCCTGCTGGGATTAAAGGCGTGCGCCACCACCGCCCGGCCTGGGACCAATTATAAGTATCCACAATGGCAAAAAACAAACAAACAAAACTGGGCAGTGTTGGGAGACACTTGGGAGGCAGAGATAATCGGATCCCTGAGTTTGAGGTCAACCTGGCTTACAGAGTGAGTTCCAGGACAGCCAGGACTGTTTCACAGAGAAACCCCGTCTCAAAAAACAACCTTTTTTTTTTTTTTTAAATATCCGGCAGTGCAGAAGACAGGGGATCTCTAAATTCAAGGCCAATCTGGTCTAAAAAGCGAGTTCCAGGATAGCCAGGCCTATACAGAAACCCTACCTCGAAGAAACAAACTAAATAAAAATAAAAATAAATGATTTTCATACATAGGTGTTTTGCCTGCATGTGTGTCTGTGAACCATGTGGGTGCACATTCATTAGCCATTGCTGAACCAGCTCCCAGAGCTGCCGTCATTATTAAAAAACATCTATTTAGGGATTGGGAGAAGGCTAATCGACCGGCCACTTGCGGAGGCCGGAGGTCAGTTTTTTGAGGGTCTGCTTGCTCTGGTCTACAAGGGCTCCGGAATCGAACCCAGGTCGTCTTACCACCCCCATAAGCACCCTTCGTGGAAGTTTTGCGTCCCCTGGTGGCCCGGGATTGTAACAGCGGGTAACCAAAGGTCTAGACTCAAAGGCTGTGTTGTGTCCCTCCTCTCTCGCCTTCCTCGCTCCCTTTTCACTTTGATGTGGGATTTCGCGGAGCCCAGGCTATCCCAAATACCTGGCTTCCCTGCTAGTGACAGGTGTGCACCGCACCCATTTTATGTGGATCAAGTGCTCTGGCAGCTGAGGGGTACCCCCAGTCTCCTCTCTGGGCTCACCCTCCCACACTCCACGCTCTGCCAGCCTGAGGAAATTGAATGACAGAGTCCGGGCTGGGTCCAACCCTGCTGGTCCACAGTGGATGGATGAGTGGCTCCTGGCAGGTGTCATAGGTACCAGTGGCCACTCTGGGAGTCGAGATACTGGGCAAACTCTTTTTTTTTTTAATTTATTTATTTATTAAAGATTTCTGTCTCTTCCCAGCCACCGCCTCCCATTTCCCTCCCCCTCCCCTAATTAAGTCCCCCCCCCCTCAGCCCGAAAAGCAATCAGGGTTCCCTGTCCTGTGGGAAGTCCAAGGAACCCCCCACCTCCATCCAGGTCTAGTAAGTTGAGCATCCAAACTGCCTAGGCTCCCACAAAGCCAGTACGTGCAGTAGGATCAGAAACCCAGTGCCATTGTTCTTGAGTTCTCAGTAGTCCTCATTGTCCGTTATGTTCAGAGAGTCCGGTTTTATCCCAGGCTTTTCCAGACCCAGGCCAGCTGGTCTTGGTGAGTTCCCAGTAGAACATCCCCATTGTCTCAGTGTGTGGGTGCACCCCTCATGGTCCTGAGTTCCTTGCTCGTGCTCTCTCTCCCTCTGCTCCTGATTTGGACCTTGAGAATTCAGTCCTGTGCTCCAATGTGGGTCTCTGTTGGGCAAACTCTTGAATACAACGACTTGAAGGAATTAACCGCCACCACCTGAACCCTGCTGTGCAAATGGCTGCACTAACACTGGAGCGTGCAGAGAGCAAAGCTAGTCAGCAGAGCAGACCTCAGGCCGGAGTGGGAGGAGCCGACGCGGAGGGGCGGGACCAGGGTTGTAGTACAACCCCAAGGTGGAGCCAAGGTGGGAGGGCGTGGTCGTCAGCTGAGGCCTGGGTACCAGGAGGGCCGGACCCTAGGGTGGCTGAACCCACCATCGCGGCTCAGGCGGGTCCAACGTGGGGAGGGGCGGGGCCTAGAACACAGGCGCAGGAGGGCGGGGAGAAAAGAGCAGCCGCCCAGGGGCGTGTCCAAGGTGGACGGGGACGGGGCCTAGGGTCCAAAATGCGAGTAAGCTTCAAGTTCAGAGAAGGCTGTAGAAGACCTTCGAGGTGCTCAGGGCTCCACTCTCCGGTGTCGCCTTATTTGCAGGTTCACTCCTGTTTCTGACTTCTGTGGGTTTCTGAGCAAGCACTACACCATAACACACTGCAAGGTACAAGGTCACTTTGCCAGGGAAGAAACAGATCTTCCCACGATCACAAGGAAGTTGGAGGCCTGTGGGAGAGGTACTTCCCTTCCTGCCTGCATTTAGGATAGAGGGTCCCTGGTCAATCTGACCTGGCTCCCTTCTCTGCTTGGACGCTTTTCTTAAAATAATTTCTTTCAATCCTCAGGTCCAAAGGTCAACTTCTAGGCACTACTGCCAACACACGCTACCTTGAGATGTTGTTCTAGACTCTTCCTACCCACATCCTTTTACCTCTTAGTCAGAAAGGCTGTTTTGCTTTTGTTCTGGGTGAAAGTGTCAGAATAGATTCTCCAAGTCGTGGGGGAACATTGGGCTTTAATCTCAGCACTGAGGAAGCCCAGGCAGGTGAATCTCTGTGAGTTTTAGGTCAGCCTATTCTATGTAATGAATTCCAGGACAGCTAGATACAAAGAAGAAGAAGAAGAAAAAAAAAACCCTGTGTTAAAAAACAAAACAAAGCCGGGCGGTGGTGGCGCACGCCTTTAATCCCAGCACTCGGGAGGCAGAGGCAGGCGGATCTCTGTGAGTTCGAGACCAGGCTGGTCTACAAGAGCTAGTTCCAGGACAGGCTCCAAAACCACAGAGAAACCCTGTCTCAAAAAAACCAAAAAAAAAAAAAAAAAAAAACCCTATGAAAATAAATATGAAGGATCTGGGGGTCATGGATGTGTTTGGATGAGAATGGTCCCCATAGTCTCATATGTTTGAATACCTGGTCCCCAGTTGGTAGAACTGTTTAGGAAGGTGAGGAGGTGTAGCTCTATTGGGGGGTGGCACTGGGGTGTGCTTTGAGGTTGCAAGAGCCCACACCATTCCCAGCATTCTCTCGTTCTCTTTGCCTCCTGCTTGTGAACAAGAAAGTAAGCTCTCAGCTGCTGCTCCAGCACCAGTCTGCCTGTTGCTCCGCTCCCTGCCAGCTCCCTGCCATGATGGTTAGGGACTCCCATGCTGAAACTGTGGAACCCAATAAACGCTTCATAGTTTTTAGTGCCTTGGCCGTAGTGTGTTGTCATGGCAACTGAAAAGTAACTACAACAAAGGATCTCTACAGAAAATGACACAGGTCTTTATTTCTTTTTTAAAAATATTTTACTGCCGGGCGGTGCTGAGGCACGCCTTTAATCCCAGCACTCGGGAGGCAGAGGCAAGCGGATCTCTGTGAGTTCGAGACCAGCCTGGTCTACAAGAGCTAGTTCCAGGACAGGCTCCAAAACCACAGAGAAACCCGTCTCGAAAAACCAAAAAATAAATTGGGAACTCACCAAGGCTAGCTGGCCTGGGTCTGAAAAAGCATGGGATAAAACCGGACTCGCTGAACATAGCGGACAATGAGGACTACTGAGAACTCAAGAACAAGGGCAATGGGTTTTTGATCCTACTGCACGTACTGGCTTTGTGGGAGCCTAGGCATTTTGGATGCTCACCTTACTAGACCTTGATGGAGGTGGGTGGTCCTTGGACTTCCCACAGGGCAGGGAACCCTGATTGCTCTTCTGGCTGAGGAGGGAGGAGGACTTGATTGGGGGAGGGGGAGGGAAATGGGAGGCGGTGGCGGGGAGGAGGCAGAAATCTTTAATAAATAAATAAAATATTTTACTTATTTAACGTACACTGGTGCTTTGGCTGTGTATATATCTGTGTGAGGGTGT